GCAGGCACTTGTCACAAAAATTCAAATCAGTCTCAATTACTGGGACTAGTCACAGGGACTAGACTTTGGTCCCTGCAACTAGATTTTGTGTCAAAAATAGCTAGTTCACATGATAGGATTTGACCCTGCGACTTTTTGCAGGGCTGACCAGTCGCAGGGACTAGTCATGTCTTGTCTGCCGACCTCCAAGCTGGTGTTTTCAAATACTTTTGGTTTGAATAGCGTTTTTGAAACGTTCCATTTTTGTGGTGGAGAAATAGAGCTTTGTTTTTAAATGTCTCTGGTGTAGTGTGGACGGGGCCCAAGTGTTCAGTTACATATTTTGATTCTGACTTCTTTCGGTTTGATCAGTTTGCTTTAAATTCTCCTCCGATACAGGTGTCTGTTGTAAACGCTGTAGTAGACCTTGACACTTCTTGATTTAATGTATTTGGTAATTCCTTAGTTCAAAACAAAATCAAAATAAATTGTTTAGTCATCAATAACCTGGAGCCAAGACAGAATTGTTATTTTATTAATAATACAACTGACACTGCTACCTTATTGGTACTTAATTTCGGGGGCACTTAATTTCACGAATTTGGCGAGACTATTTTCCGTGGTTTTATTTTCGTGATTTCAATAGGCAAATATGAAAAAAGGGTATTAAATTTCGCGATTCAAGCGTTCTCAACCTCACTTTATTTTTAAAAAGTCTGAACTGACGACTACACGAAAGATATTCTAAGGGATTTGTATGAATCTAACGATTCAGATAAAGATAATAGCTAGATCCTCTACTCACTCTATTTTTGCAAATTAATGATATTTCACAACAGAAGATACAAAATGGAACTTACCAGTAAAACAAGTTAATAATTTGTGTATTTGCCGATACATGTTAATCATTTTTTTCTGTGATGTGAATTTTTTATGGATATTAAATTTCGCGAGGATTTTTATTCACGGGTCTTTAATTTCATGATTCATTTACAATCCTGCAAAATTAAGTACCAACAAGGGGGTTTGAACTTGGTTATTCTGAACTTGAAGCCATTTTAATTCCCGTGGATATACCATTGCCTGCTACACTTTGGATAATTTGAGTAGTCCGGGTTCAAACCCAGGCTTGAATTGTTGGGCTTTGTTCTTGGGTAACATCCAACCTCCAACAATCTCTCCATCCAGGTGTAATCAATCAATCCCAATCAACTTTTGTTGTGCACTATTTACAAATTTTAAAAGTTTATATCAGTAATATAAAATAACTGAGAAGAAAAATATATGTTGCATATGGCTATGGAAAGATAAAAAAATATGTGCGTGGTAACCAGTGTAGCTATTGGCTCTTGAGCTGGTTACCACCATGTTAATGCAACAGAAGCTCAGTTACGGTCCAGTGGTTGTATGGGACACCTGCCCATTGGAGAACTTATTCACTATTTCTTGCTGAAGTTATGAAAGCTGCTTGACCCATTGCCTGACCAGCAAGAGTGAAATGTTTTTTATTGGCCTCATCTAAACATGAGGAGGGTTGGGAGAATTCGAGACAGTTATGCAAACCCAAGATGTAGTCAAGGGTTTGCGTAACTTCTGAGAATTCTCCCAGCCCCTGAGTGTTTAGATGAGGCTATGTAAACACAGGAAAAGTGCTCTATTGCAATTATAAAATATGTCTTAAAAATATGCACGAATCTAAAGCTTCACAACCATGGTTACTTACTGTCATCTAGATACACCTTTCAAGCAATGAGAGTGTGTGTAGTAGCTCATTTATTTTATAATTATTATATTATATCTCTCAGGTAATACGCATGCTGTGATTGGTCAATTTAGCGGGCCGTACTCAGTACGGTCCGCTGAAATTTAAAGTTGGTTTTGTTGCCAAACTGTTTCGTGATTTGTCAATAAGTGTTCTTAACTTTTACAGCAAGTGAAAGGTTAAAACTTTCTTATACTCTAAATTATGTAATAAAGCGTTTCAAACTGACTCGTTTTGCTTTCGAGGTCAGAAATTTGGGCCCTTTCCGAGTCGGCGTGAATAGAAATCGTTTCCGAACCCGTCAGGCAGACAGTAGAGATGTAATAACTATCTTACTAACCTGGTCTTCTCGGTCCGTACTGTAAGTTACGGATCCTCGTTTTTTTCCCTTCGATTCATGACCCGCGCGCTTCGCGCTTGGGCCACAAATCGAAGGGGAAAAAACTCGGTCCGTAACTTACAGTACGGACCTCGAACTCGTTTAGTAAGAGGTATATATGAACTGAATTTTCTCCTCCACTGCTGTTTCTGTTTGGAGATACAAAGGAAGATGGGAGGAGAGAGAAAGAGATAATGCAAACATGTTTTGCTAATTTCCAGATCAGAAGGAAAACTACTCAACATCACCGAAGGGCTGTTTTGTACCAGTCTTCCCGTCGTTTCCCGACCTAAGTAAAAAATGATGAGACTGGGAACAAGTTATATAACCAACATGGCGGCTCTGGCAAGCTCTCGCGCAAATTTGAACAAGGGGTATTTTTTTGCATTGCGGAGTGCACTAAAAAGATGTAGAAGATGTAAAAATACAGAATGTGCAGTTGAATTTGAAATTGGTGACCGGTGAGTATCTTAGTCAACTGAGTGGCGCAGTGGAACAATGCAAATGAATTTCTCATGGTGACTTCTGTATTACGCCGCTTATAAAAAAATTCATCTAAGCTTATTTCTTTTAAATCCATTCACCACAGAACTATGAAATTTTCAACGGGAAAAATGGCAAAGTTGGCGAATGGATCCGTCGTTGCTGAGGTAAAGCTATACATGTGACAAAATTTGATCTTCAGTGACCAGTCTGTGTTGTCAGTCAAACAAACCATGATTCCTCGCGCCATTTCTGTAAGTTCAGTATTTTTATGCAGTTCCCATTCCACTGGCCACAATGATTTCAGGATATTCGAGATATCTTTCCAAAAAGAAAACAGTGCAGTGTAAGTATGATAATCCAATTTTTTTGCATTCACACAGAAATCAAAGTGATCACATTTCATGGCTACACGTAGGCTACCAAATACCTGATGCAAATTCACAGGCAGGCAAATGCAGACAAAAGTACTTACGGCCACACATACCTATATATAGCGCATATAAGGGAGTTCTCTGTCAAGGTTCTAGGCAAGACACAGATCATCTGTACTAAAGGCATCTGCGCTCGAGTGTCGATAGATATCCTTGATGGATATCGTTGATCCACATCTCAATCAGCACTCAATCGGCACTTGATTAACACTCGATTGACACTCGATTGACACTCGATTGACACTTGATTGACACTTGATCAACAGTCAATGAATAATCAGCCGAGTGTCAACCGATTCATATGCATTGATTAGAAATTAGTTAACTGTCAACCGAGATGCTGATCGTGCGTCAACCGCGTGTCAACCGAGGTGTTGAGAGAATGTTGATAGAGGGTATCAATCAACACTTGACTGCAGATGCCTTTAATACACATGACCCCAAGACACTTGACTCTCACAGTACTTCTCTCCATTTAGGGGTATGAATGGATACTGGCACATTGTTGGAGCAACCTGACTGAAAACTGGGGAGTGACTTGCGATGAACTAACATCCCATCCAGGGGAAATGGCAATGCTCCTAGCTGCTTTATGCTACCTTTTGGATCAATGTGTACTTTTCTTTGTATTTTATATAGCATGGAGAGAATTCGACCTTGGTTACTGCTGTAAGTGAGATGACATCCACAGATACCAATGGAAGAGGTTTGCCTCTATTGGTAAGATCACAACATATTTGATACGGTATAGTGTGTGCGTTCCCGAAGTGCGAATGTCCACCTCAGTGAGAGTAGCTCTGAAGAGTACTGCTGTCAGTGACTGATGTTTTGACAACCTGAATAAAAATTGTCTTCAACTCCAGTGAAGATGGTTTGCCAGTTAACAGTGTTATAAGTCAGGCTTGCTGATTGATCAGTTTTGCTGTGACGCTATTGGGTCTTAGACTCATGTTAAGAACATGTGAAAAGTGATTGGAGAAATAACATACTTTCTGAGACATATTTTAAATTAGTACTTCTAACTGACTTAGACTTATGAAGAACACACTAACTAAATGTTACAGGAACTTAATTTGAGAATTATACCTAGATTCTGAGAAATGACTATTTTGAAGCAAAAATTCAATCCCACGAGGGCTTTTGTCCTAGATCCTTTAGTTTCCTTTGTACAATTTTTCATAAGTTAAATAGCAAACCACAAATGTCTCCACTCAATTTTTTTTTTTCTGCAGATCTGCAGTTCGTTTATGCATTATTAAATTTTTGTGTCAACAGAAGTATTTTGTGTAGTAATGGTAGGATCTCAATTAGATGGAGTAAGAGCACACACTGTAAATACTTGCGATGATGAGCCAGATTATTAACTAGTATATGAAGTCTAAATGCCATTGTTTAAACTTTAATGTGAAAATTGTTTTAGTTTAGCAGTATGAACTGGAGGTCATG